TCTTTACCTTTTTCTTTTATTTCTTATTTCTTTACTTCTTATTTTCCTTCTTATTATTATCAATAAACTACCTCATTGTTATTATACATCTGCGTGATATTATATATCATTGTCTAAGTGACATTATACATCTAAGTGATCTTATAAAACCCAAGCGATTATATAAATCTTTGTTAATTAAGGTAACAGTTAGGCCTTCGTGACAACAACAGTCATTGTGAATCTTTAGAAATACACTAGTCTTAGTGAGTTACAATTAAATACGTTTGAGTGGAACCAATTATAAATCCAGAACTTAGGAATAAATTAGTAGATTACTACGTACATTAAAAAGAAACAACTCTCGAACACCTCGTTTAACTGTAGCAATCCACCAAAATCGCACGTTAACAATACTTATATTTTATCATTATACTCTGATTACCATTTCTACAAACTTTACATTATTATATAGTTTTCCATTTATTTTGACAAACACATTCTTATTTATTCAAAATATCTCAAATAAGTAATAACAATAAATAAAAATAAACATTACAATCACGTACATAATTTTCAGAATTAATAATTTTAAATTTACGTAATTTTCGCAAATTCACAATTGAAATTTTTAGCATTATCAAATTTAAATTATAAAAATTAAATAAATTGAATTAACTAATTAATCACTACTGATTCAACACTGATTAATTTTAGGTTTAATACTAATTAATCCTTATAAAAATTTATTAAATAATTTTACACATGGGAGCTTTGCAATAAAAAGAAAGAAAACTCTAAAAAAAATTTTTTTTGAGTTAATATTAAATCTGGACTTATTTTACAAAAAATATCATAATTAGCTTAGAAAGTAAAATTTTAATTTTTTTAGAGTTTCCTTCTTTTCTATTGTAAAGCTTCAATATTTTATTATATTCTTGTGAATATTTAAATTATTAATTTATACTTTATTAAAATGTTGTCACTGGAAATAATCTTCTCTAATTACTTCACGTAATTTATCTAAGTTCCTTTGTTGCAGTAAGTAACTTCCTTATCGTCAGACTTTACAACTTTAGGGAATCTTACGTCCTACAGGTATCTGGAATGCCTTGGAATTACTTCACTTGACTTTACAAACTTAAGGGTTTAGAGACTTGGGAAATTTAGAGAATTTATATATTCTAAGTGACGAACTCAGTCACAAGTTAGTGTAGTAGTTCACGATTAAATCCTAGATGATGGACATGTAAAAGGGAAAAGTATTTTTGTTTTTAAAGTTGATTCCTTTATTATTTGAAACTCACAAGTATTTTTAAACTTACAAGAGAGTTATTTTACAACATGAGCAAAAAGCTATTCTATTTATACAAAATTAATTTGTTACGGTTAACTAATTGCTACATTATAAACTAACTAAATTTGTAATTACAAGTGTTAATATAATAATGATAATAATTATAACGATAATAATAAGTATAATAAAAATAATAAATATAAGAAGAATAATGATAATAATGAAAATAATGGAAATACAAGGGATTAGGAAAATCTAACGAATCAGGATTATCTGACGAATCCAGTAAATCCTAAGAATCCTACGAATCCCCAAAATTCTGTGGATCCTAAGAATCATCAAAATCCGAAATTTTGCGGATCATTTGGCACAGTATTGGTCACGCTTATTACATCGTCATTCTATTGGTCGCTAATGATCGGCGCAGTAAAGTCGATTTCAGACGTTAACAAATCTCCTTCCACTTGAATTTCGAATGTAGTGAGAAATAATTTCGCCCTCGAAATCAAATCAAAAATCTATGCCTTAGGAATTTTATGGACTCTGGTTGTAGTCAAGATTCTAGTCTTTAATAATTGCATCATTCCGATTTCTTTAAAAATAATGAAGACTTTTCTGGATACTTCATATTGATGTCAGTTCATTATTAACATGACTCTTTTATATTTAGAGTCATCTATTTCGTCTAGAAGTTCTCCAATAAAGTACATATAAACAAGCATTTCTATTCATTTTTTCATCATTTTTGCTCGTCGATAATATCTTTGAAATGTCTTCATTTTGATATTTACATCATCTGATTCATTATATGGTCTTGACCATAGTTCCATTTGAATAGGCTCAAGTCATATTAAGTCGTTATAAATATCATCTATTTTTGATTTTTAAAAATTGCAGAAATATGGACATTGAATATTTTTCTTGTCTTTTAAATACTGAAATTATTGTCGATCACCATATGAGGTTCCCATGTCTGTTGATCAAAATATTCCTTTAAAAGATCGCTATTTACAGGTTTGGCTAGTAATCGTCCATCTATTTCCCTTATTTTGTAAGATCCGTTTATTAAGACTTCGTGAATCATATACGGTCCTTTTCATTTTGGTTCCAATTTTCCTGAAAATTGATTCATTTTGGTGGCATCATAGTACAAAACTTTTTGTCTAATGTTAAATGATTTTGGCTTAACCATTTGTTTATCATGGGCTGTCTTCTGTTTTTTTTAACAGCAATCATTGTTTGTTTTGCTTTTTCTCTAATTCAGGTAATTTTTCTATAATTTGACAAATTCTGTCGATCAAATTTTTACTTTGTTGTTCCACATGATCATCTAAGTGTAATTTGGCTTCTCGTCCATAAGTCAACAGAAAAGGTGACATTTTTGTAGATGCTTATTGAGCTGTACGATAAGCAAACAATACAGAGGCGATATGTAAATCCCACTCAGTCTGTTCTTGAATGAGTTTGGCTAATGATTCCTTTAGAGTCTTATTGAAATGTTCTACTTGTCCATTTGTTTGTGGATGATAAGGGGTGGAATTATGATGTTTAATTCCGAATTTTTCCATTAATTCTTTAATCGTCGCATTGTTAAAATGAGTACCACGATCTGTTAGGATTTTCATGGGGCAACCATGTCTACATATGATGTCTTCATAGATAAATTGAGCAACTTGACTAGCAGTTGCTTCCTTTACGGCTTTTGTTTCAGGCCATTTAGTGAACATATTAATGGCTACAATAATGTATCGATTTCCTTGTGGTGTAATTGGTAATAGTCCAACGAAATCTATTCCTATCTGATAGAAAGGGCTATGGGGTGAAATAGGATGTAATTTATTATTTTTACTTGGTCTTCCTCTACGTTGGCAAGAATCACAAGCTTTAACATATGCTTTGATATCTTCATACATTTGTGGTCAATAATATCGTATCCTAAGTTTGTTGAACATTATCTCAATTCCAAAATGTCAGCTGTAGGATCATTATGCATCATATATAGCACCAGTACTAATTCATATCGTTTAAGAACTTGTAAAAGGTGTCCAGCTCATCTTCTATCATATCGGTATAAATTTGAATTTTGAATTATAAAGTATTTGGTCATATTGACGAACTTTTTCTTTCCCTGATTCGATTGGACGTAATTAGGGTATTTGTTGTGATTTAAATATTGCTGTATTTCGAAGTATTGTTGTATATCCATATTGGATAATTGAGCTAAAGTCACAATGCTTACACTTTCGCTTACACACAATTATATTATTTGAACGTTAAGACTTTTACTCACTAAGTGCTATTCAACTAGGTGTTATTTCTTTAAAAATGATAAAATAAATAGAAATAAATAACTTTGATATTTTGCTAATTTAATTTTAATAATACTATACTAATAAATTGGATAAAGGTAAATATTTAATAATTAGGGGTGCTATCTCTACTACTAACTTCATCAAAGTTGAGGCATAAATAGGGGTGATAATAGGTGCAAAGGGTCCAAATATTTCATCAAGTTTATCTTCTGTCTATTCACGTGTTTGAGGATTCTTGATTGGTTTTAGTAGTTCAACTGCTGTAAGGCAAGCTTCGTCATTCCGCTGCACTTCTTTTGGTATATCCCAGAATACTTCAGTGCTTAAAGTTTCAGGGACTATCTCGGGGTGTAGTTATCCCAGATTATATCTGACAATACATTCATGTTGTAGGTCTGTAGTAATAATTGTTCCACAAAGTGTACAATTAACGGAATATTCCTGAGCATATTCCTCAAGTCGATTACCATTCATTCGTTTAATGATAGTTTGTCTAAATTCAGCAGCATTCAAAAAGATATTGTGCAGAACTTGCCTCCAATCTTGTCTTTTATTATCCATGATTGATTCAATTTCTTCATCGCTAAAGTTGAATTCTGATTCACTATTTCCCTCAATTTGTCCTGGTTGTTGTTCGACTGCTTTATCGTCTTCATCAGATATCATATTTAAATATTCATAATATTCATGTTCGTTGCAATGACAAATAGTATGCTCTGTAGGCGCAGATATATAATTTCCATATGGGTTGGTACATTGGAAACAATTGGTACAATACTAATGAGAATGATGGTTATTTTCCTCACAGGCATAAGTATTCTTTCGATATTTTCTATTATTATATAACCCATTCCATTGCCATTTTGTTTGACATCCTGGGACATTTAAAGCAGAGAAATGTACTTGCATCCATTGATTATCTTTCTCTTCATCTTCTTCATTTAACGTCATGTTGATTGGGACCATTCGTGAGAATGTATCAGCATTTTGATTTTTAACACCAGGTCTATGTTTAATAGTAAAGTCATATGCTTGAATGAACAAAGCCCATCTTGCAACTCGCCTTTTTACATGCTTCGTAGTTAATAATCAGTTTAAAGCAGAGTGATCAGTGACTACTTCGAAAGGTTGGTAATATAGATAATGATCAAAATGTTCAATAGACCATCTGATGGCAAGACATTCTTTCTCTGTTGTGGTATACTTTAATTCCAAGCTAGATAATTTTCAACTAGCATGGACAGTTGGATGTTCTAGCCTTTGTTCTTCTTTTTGAGTGAGCACCACTCCTAATCCTTCATCAGATGCGTCAGTTTGCAGAATAAATTTGTTTTTCAGATTTGGTTGTGCAAGCACAGGGGCAGTAATCATTTTTCCTTTTAAAATGTCGAAGGAATTCTGATGTTTAGGAGTCCATAACCATTCAGTATTTTTCTTTGTAAGATCATGTAATGATACAGCAATTTTGGCAAAGTTTTGAATGAAGCGTCAATAATAAGAAAAGAGTCCTAGTGCCATACGCACTTCTTTTGGATTATTTGGAGTTGGTAAATCGATCATTGCTTGAATTTTCTTTTGATCAGGTTTGATTCCATTACTTCTTACAATATGTCCTAAGTAGCTAACTTCGTTGACAACAAATGTACATTTGCTTGGCTTAATTTTTAATCCTGCTTTTTTGAGTCTATTAAAAACTTGTTGAATATATTAACAATGGTATTCGAAAGAGGTGGAATAGATAATATTGTCATCAAGATATACAGCACAGAACTTTTCAATTAATCGATGTAATGCTCGATTCATTAGACGTTGAAAGGTTGCAGGTGCGTTCTTTAATCCGAAAGGCATTACTTTGAACTCATAAAGACCTGAAGGTGTTATAAAAGCAGTCTTTGGTTGATCTTCTGGATGCATTTTTACTTGCCAGTATCCGCTAGCTAAGTCGAGAGCAGTAAAATATTTTGCAGTCCTAAAGTTTTTTAATTGGTCTTGCATGTTTGAGATTGGATAACTATCAGTAATAGTGATTGCATTCAGGAGTCGTTAATCAACACAAATTCTTAGATCTCCTGTTTTCTTTGGTACGATTACCACTGGGGAGGCCCAAGGACTTTCAGAGGTTTGGATAATCCCTGTTTTTAACATCATATCAATTTTTTTTTCTAAGAAATCTTTTCTTTCTTGGTTTAACCTATATGGTGGATGAGCAATAGGTCTAACTCCAAGTTTGAGAGGTATTTGATGATTTACATATGGGGTTTGTCCAATGTCAGTTCCTCCAGTTGAGATAATTTCTTTTGGAATAAGAGCTTTGACAGTGATTTGTTCTACCGTTTCATTTTCTTCAACATTAGCTATATAAAGATTTATAAATTCTTCTTTCTCATAGGGCCATTCAATACATTCTAACTCGTCCTTATCGATTTCTGAATCAGAATGGATCTCCCTTTCTTCATTTTCATTCTCCAGTTGGAAGAGATCAGTTTCAAAGAGAGCTTCGTCCTCATATTCTTCCTCTTCACTTTCAGCTGTATTGGCTAATATTCTGAAATATGGCTTCGCTTCTTCAATACATTTTATTGGTGATTTCACTAGTTGATTCTGGATTTTTGCTCGCAATTCATCTTGATCGAAGTACATTCTAGCATTGAACGTTTTGAACCAGTTGATTCCTAATAATAAAGTATCTTGAGGTGATTCAATTACTTGTAAATCGACCGTAAATTGAATCCCTTGTAAAATCAAAGGAACTGAAGTAATGATTCCTAATGATCTTTTTCTTTGTCCATCAGCAGTTACTACCAAGATATCGGATGACTTATTTGGTTTAATTTTTAATTTATTGGCCAAGGTTGTTGAGATAATACAGGCAGCAGCTCCTGAGTCCAAAATTACTTCAATTGGATTTAATTTGTATCGCATAATACATCTGGCGGCAGTGTATTTATTATTATCATTAACATGAGTTTGTGCAATATTGATTCCAATTTCTTTTTCTACTTTGTTAATTTGATCTTTCAATTCTTGTAGATACTGAGGGTTTCGTAATAGTTGTCC